TGCAGTATCATAATCGAGTCTAGGGGTCAGGTGTAACTTTCCAGTTTTGCCCATCAATCTCCAAGGTCCAGGGCAATACTGGAAATCTGATCTGGTTCAAAGATTCAATTAATCCTACACTGCATGTGCCTTGGGTCTCACCCTGGCGACTGAGACAGGCCACCCGAACACTTGGTAGCACATCAGTGTCAACCTTGGCAGGATAAATCTCCCCAGACTTATCCAACGGCTGTGAACGTTCTAAACTAACACGAGTCTCATTAAGTGTTTAGTTTAAGGGTCTTACACAGAAACATACCACACAACATGAATCAAACATGCACTTTCTTCATTTACACTAAATGTCAAAAGTACATCAAAACTGATTGGAGCTAAGGGCATACAAAACTGTCTAACAACTTCTTCCTGGTGATGACTTCCCAACCCGTCCCAGTGCTGATGTGAGATGATTGAGACGGGGTCTTCCTTGTAGGCACGGCGCTGGCTTCATGGGTATCTACTTCCTGATAGTATTGCAGGGCTGAAAGTTGCTTCCCATGTACCTTCAAGGCTGTTGTCACTGGAACCATGCAAGGAGAACACTTGTCCAAGATGAGCAGACTGTCTATGTGTGGCATGAGAGCTGCTTCCGCCTGTGCGAGAAACCCCATTCCCAAGACAACCTAAAAATCATCCAAAGGTACTACAGATAGATTGATGGGTCCTTTCCATGACCCAACTTGGAGATCTACTCCACGAGCCATGCCTTCTACTGCTTTGGCCCCTGAGTTGACAGCCTTGATCCACCCTGTTTGTTTGGTGGTGGCCCCAGTGTCCACCAAGGCTTGGGTCGGCCTCCCGCCGAGGGTGATGTCTACATATTTCAGTTCTTTGTGGGCTTTGGTGGGCCGCTTGGATGTGGCCTCTTTCTTAACCATGGCGTTGATGAGTTGGAGGGTGCCTACTCTTGGCGCCACTGTGGGTTTCTCCTCATCGCTCTCTTCACTGTCGCTGAGTTTGGCGATGAAGGCAGTGAGTTTCTTCCGTGTTGGACAGTCACTCGTCTGATGATGCCCATTGCAAAGGTAACAAGGCACAGGAGTAGTTGGTCTCCTAGTGAACCGGTGGCCCTGATCGCTTGGGGCTGCTTGTGGCTTCTTCCCTTGTTGGTAATTTTTGGGCTTGTTAGTGGGCATTGGTTTCTCCTGTGTAGAGGTT